TAGGTCAAATAAATTAAAAATACAAATTAAGATTTAGACTCCACCAAAAATCTTAAAAATCGATAAAAGGGGCCCGGTTGACTTTAGTAATGCATTGCACGTTAACGCTAACTATTTTCAATTAGTTTTGTAATATTTTTTTAACAGAAACTTACGGGCTAAAACAATTGCTAGCTTTCACTTTTGTGTTTGAAAATGAACTCTATTAAATTTAGGTTGCTATAATCTATAATGTGATATTTACTATATTAATATTAAATTCAAATCAAAACATATTAAAATTAAAATATGGATAATATTGAACAGTTATATTTTAGAAAATTAATCGCAACTTAAAAATCAACGTCAAATAAATAAATAATTAGAATAAAATTTATCAATTTGAATGATTTTTATCAAAAATACTGATAAAAATTAATTTTATTAATAATATAAAATTTATTACCATATATTTACCAAGTATTTTGATTAATTAAATCATTAACAGTACTTAATTTCTTAAAATTAATAGGCTTATGGTATATTTTTGTTCATAAACTATTCTCTAAGAAACATCTGGTGTTTGAAACTATTTGTCTTAACAATTTTGTTCCTAAAATAATTAAAAACATATTTGCCTCTAATGTTAAATACCTCAACGTTGACTGAAACTTAAATTTGAGAGAAGATGCTACCTATTATGCCAAGTAGATCCAATTTAAGGTACATTTTTGTCCTTAAAATATTATTCAAAGAGCATATATTGTCATAAACTATTTACATTATAACAATTTCACTCATAAAATAATTAAAACGTAGCAAAAATGTATTTTAATTTGGGTTCACTTAACATAACAAGTGACATTTTTTTATGGTCAACATTGAAGATGAAATTGCTACAATAAATAATTTTTTATGGTCAGTATTTTTTATGGTCAACATTGGGGTATTTAATGTTAAGAATAAATATATTGTATTTTAATTATTTTGAAGATGAAATTGCTACAATAAATAATTTAAAATATTGGTGTTCATCAATGAACAGCTAATAAGTAAAAATGCATGCACCTTAACCCAAATTAATAGCATATATGGCTGCGACAGCTTATCCGCAGGCAAGCATTTTTCAAAAATAAATAAAATAACATCAAGAATCAGTTTGTATAAAAATTATATGTATATATATTTTTTTTTGGGTAAGTATATAGGCTCTGTCAATATTAGAAAATATTTCCCACGAAATATAAGCAAGACCTCTCACAGTTAGATTGTCATTCAAGAGAAGCTGGGCTTAGCCCTCACGGTTCAAATTAGGCTCAGCTTTAAGTGAATGTTAATCATATATTAATATTAATATTATTAATACAAAAGATATAAAAAATGATTTCAATTATAAGCCATAAATAAGATTTGGATAATGTATGTTTGAAATCCGTGCAAAAAACTTAAGCGCCACGCCTTGCCCTAACAAAAGAAAACACCTTGCTTGAATGTCAACCCTACATTTGTCCTTTTGATTGTAATTCTCTTGACTCAACTATATATCTCTTTACAGATTGTAAGAAAGCTAAAGAGATATGACTAAAGCTAGTTAAATAATATGAATTGAACACTTTCTTCTCTCTCAACTTACAAGATTGAATAATTTAAAATGTAAAAAAAGATGCGAATAATGCTAAAGCAAGGAATGTTTTTTGGTAGAGACTTTTTAGACATGTGTGTTGCAATGTCTGGAAAGAAAGATGCAAATGCATCTACTCTGAGGAAATCATGCCTGACAGAGACATTGCATTCACTAGCATCTAGAGCATTCACAATGATCAATACTTTCAATTTAAAATCAAGTTCTTGACCCAACAAAGTAATAGATCTAAAGCAAAATGGTGTTCTCCTAAAAAAAAGTTGGGTTAGACTTAATATAAATGGCTCTCTTAATAATCAAGGTGTGGCTTCTTGTAGAGGTCTCATCAAGAATGATCAAAGAAACTAGATCAAAGGCTTTACCAAATATATTAATTATCAACCAAGTACGGCAACTGAACTTATGAACATCTTAGAAAGTCTCAACATTTGTTGGAAAATGAAGTTTAGCAAAGTCAATGTCTACATAAACTCTACAAAGGTTCTCATACTTATATGCAAAGAGTTATCCACTAATCATCATCTTACTGTTTTCATCAACAATATTAGAGAACTTATTATGAGGCATTGGACGATCACCTTTGACCACGTTTTCAGATAAGCTAATAAATGCACTGACTGGATGGCTCATTTGGCATTTATCGATAATTTAAATGTTTAAATTTTTGATGATTCACCCTCTGATTATATGAATATTTTTATATGCTGATAAGACTTAAGTTGTCTGTCTGCACGGGTTAATCTCGTGGCCTTTCTATTAAAAAAAAAATGTCAACCCCACACCACCCTATAGGTTGGAAGAATGAGGAATCAAGTGCACCGTTTTTAACATGACAATTATGGCCTTACTATTCGTCATAATTACTAATTGATGAGCCGCGTTCTTTCCTTTGATGGCTCCGAAGAGGCAGGCCATCTGATATTGATGTAGTTATGCTTGGACTTTTTTCTCCTTTCGAATATTTTTGAATAAAATAAATAAATTATCTTTCAAATTAAAATCCAATAACACTATGGATCTTGAAAACTTGAACTTATTTATTTTATAGAGTATTCCCTCAACTTTTCAAAAATTTTTAAATAATTAAGTAAATTACTTCATAAATTTTAAGTTTTATAAATTTTAAATTTATTTATTATATAAATTATTTTTTTAATTTTTTAAATGGTATAACCTGGGCTCTATCATCAACAAAATTGTGATTAAATAATTTGATATTGATGTTCAAGGGTGTAATGTTCATACGATAAAATTTGACAGTGACATAAATATGAAATATGATTATCAAAATTTAAAGTATGAGTGATAATTTCAAAGTCTAACTTTGGCGCATCAATTTCAAATTATTTAAAAAACGGTGATTTCTCCCACTGAATAATCTAAAACGTGACGGTGCTGATATATTGTGCGGTTTTTTTTTTTTTTTGGCTAACTGGTCAGCATATTCTTTCAGTGGATAAGACGCAATACATGTAATGAGTGTTTGATTGGAGTAATGACAACAGCACACGCAAACGCAACCTCCTAATTTACTAAATGCTGCTTCATGCATTTTTTTAAATACATGTAAATAACTAAATATAGATGGACCAAACCAAACTTCTTTGTCAAACTAAAAAAAATGTTTAAGTACTCTCACCTTTTTTTTTCTATTGCAAGAGAAATTGTCACATGTCTCTTTGTTCTTTTATTATGAATAAATTTTAAATTTTAAAAAGTATTTATCACATTTTTATTAAATTATCTTTCATAAAGTATTTTTACGAGAAAAACTTGGTTCATTTTTTTTAAAACGGAATATTATCTCTTATAATCTAATTTCATAATACATGCTAATTATTATACTTAATCAATTTTGTGAAGATATTTTATTATTTTTCTCTTATATAAGGAATATTATATTTTTAGTCCTTTAACTTTACACAAAGTTTCAAAGTCTCATTTTAATGTTTTAACATTGTTATTTTCATTGGCAAAAAAAATATTTACATGTTGTTAAAATTATTTACAAGAGATTCTATATCAAATTTTTTAACAATATATTTTCCTTTCAATATGCACAAGTAAAATGAGTTACTCTTTCACAATATGATAAATTAATGTTTGAATCCCATTAAGGAGATGCATACATTTAGTGTATAATTTTGCCTCAACGAATAGGACTGACTCCATTATGAGAACACTTATGCACAAAAAAAAAAAAACAAATAAAGTTATCCATCATACATCTTGTTGTGATGTATAATTTTAGTAGTGTTCATAGATAGGAAAAAAACTTTATAACAAATCAACAAAACAAATTTTTAGCCATATATTTAAGTGGGCTTGGGTTAAATTTTATCTAACATGAACATGGCCACTTTTCCCATGGAAGTCAAACCAAAGTCTCAGTTAGAAAATTCAAAAAAAAAAAAAAAGAATTGAATTATAGGCATATTATTGTATTAATATTCCAAACAACAATCAAACAAAATGTTTGAGACTTTGAGTATATCGCCGTGAAAATAATATAATAATTAGACCTTGAATCTACACAGGTTAGATTCAACTACTCTAATGGTACATAAATGAAGGAAAAGGCATTGAGATTTATATGAATGCAGATTAGTTACCTAATGCATAATTAATAACTGCATACAGTATAGCGGTTTATAGGTAACTAGTTTGAAATAAATCAATGAAGCTCATGAAATATATAGCTGAAAATGAGATCAAACTCATTCATTGTGTTTCCATATTCTTACACAACACAAAATCAAGACATATAAAGTATAAATCTAGTCTCTCTCCTTGCTAAAATATGGACATTCTTTTATTTTCATGAAAGCTTTATTTTTCACCTTTACGACTTATAATTTCTTAAGCCAAAGGCTTTAATCACAAGTAGAAAAGGCTCATTGAATTTTTTTTGTTGAATTTTTTTAAAAAAGCCATTTTTAATAATAACTTGTCATTTTTTTTTACTTTTATACATGCTTAAAAAAATAAACACCTTATTTTGTTTCTAAACATATGATTTTATAAAAATACAATATATTTTTTTAAATGTCAGTAGTTATGGTCAAACATTTTTTAATATTTTTTTTAAAATGGAAAAAACATGAGTATAACAAAAAATGTTGAAAAGAAAGTTCAGAAAAAATAATTGAATTAAAAAAAATATTGACAGGGCCACAATACTATTAACTCTATTGTTCCATGAACAGTAAATTTTATTATATTTTATTTAAGTACCTTCTCACACAAAAACAACAAACTACCTTATTTAAAAATGTAATTGTTCGAATAAAAGGAGAATAATGACTTCTCATTTCTCAACATATGGAAGAGATGCAGCTGACAAAACGAGACAGAGGCCAGAGGCTCAATGTACCAGTGGGGTTTAAATGAAAAAATGAACAAAAAACCAAAGGGGAAGGATCATTGTTAAAGATTACAGTGATAAGGTACGGGGTTAAACATTTAACAGCAAGGAGTGAAAAAACAGATTTCGGAGTTTAGAGTGTACCAGACCAGGAATGTTTGTTTTATTTTACTTTTATTTTATGAAATGAAATAGGGCAAGTACAAATGAAAGCAAATTGCAGGTATGGGACTAGCTGATTGCATAGCAGGTTCCTAACCTCTGCTATTGGTAGTATAAATAAAAGCAAACTGCTTTTCATGCCCGGCAATTCAGTCGATGGCTGAGTCCTCGTCCCATGGTCATCATCTTCTTGTGTGACTGACAGTGAAAATTACGTTGCTTGGAATTTGGGAAAGGATCTGGTTTTCGGTTTTCCTTGTGGATGCCCATTAGTCAAGCATCAAGAAAAGTTATTTGTATATAGGAGAGAAAGCCCTTCACGTCAGCACGTAGTCCTTAAGATTGAATCGAAGGGGACGCCTGTATCTCAGAGATTCTTGTTCTTCTTCTCCGGCGAAGGAACGGGAAAGTGCAGAGCGAGACATGGCTTCCTGGAATTCAGTTCCACTCGAACTCGCGTACCAAGCATTGGGTTGGTTCGCTTTTTCCTGCTGGTCCATCAGCTTCTACCCTCAAGTCTTCTTGAATTTTCGCAGGAAAAGGTACCCCCAGAGAAAATTTTCTCTTCTTCTTCAACCTTATACTTTCTCTACTATTTTCTCTGCAATCCTAGCTATATTTTTTCCTTAATTTTTTTGGTGTGTTTCTCAGTGTTGTGGGGCTCAACTTTGATTTCGTGCTGTTGAATCTGACAAAGCACTCTTCCTATCTCATCCACAACGCCTCTATGTACTTCAGTTCCGCTGTTCAGAAGCAGTATATTGAGGAATACGGTTCTGGAGAGGTCCGTTTTATATATTTTGAGTAACGGTAATAATAATTCATCGCGAAAATCTAACAATCATAACTTATATTTTGAGCCCCTTGCGATACAAATGACCTATATCTAGTTTTGACAAAAATCAGCACTGGTTCCTGTGTCCCCCCCCCCCTACTTCTTTTGGGACCAGAGTGTTGAATTCCTGTTTAAATTACTTTTAATCTTCTGATGACCCAGATACAAGTCCCCTGTTTTTCTTTTTGCTATTTCCATTCTGAGCAAATTCTGCTGAAGTTCCATAAATGGAATTACTTTTAGTTATTATGAATTCCAAACACGATTACTCTTGATGAAGAAGTAGGTGGTCAGTTTAGCAGTGCCTTAGATCTTGAGGGGTTCATCCAAATGTTTGAAGTTGGTGTTGCTTTTGTTTGCTGCAATCTTGCATGTTGTTGGAATGCCAGCATCAAGTTGATTAAACCTTGTATTCAAAGGATTTAACTGACGATGATGTTTTATATTTTTACATTTATGTCTCTTTATTTTAGATGCTACCTGTGGCGGCAAATGATGTTGCTTTCTCCGCCCATGCTGTGCTATTGACTGCAGTTACCTTGTTCCAAATTCTAATCTACGACGTAAGCAGTGGGGTTATTATGGTTCCTTTTGCTTTGTTGGTTAAAATCCGAATTGCCCTGAACACGGTAACTTATCCATGCAGCGTGGAACTCAGAAAATCTCCAAACTTGCCATTGGAATTGTCTCTGTAGTATGGCTTACTGCTGCAGTTTGTTTCTTCTTGGCTTTGCCTACGCGCTCCTGGCTTGGCTTCTCACTGTATTCAAGTATGTTGATGCTGCTTTATGATTATTTGGCATCTGTTGGTTTTTATGCAGAAACTTCATTTTCCACTCTTTAAGCACTTGATTCAACACTGCGAATCCTTACATACCAAGTAAACAGGGACCTAACTATGTTAAAGACCCCCCCCCCCCCGTATTTTTTTGCCGTATTTAAATATGGCTCCTTTGTGCAATCTTGAGATCATTGTAACTTATCTTCTACTGACATGCTCTATTGGCCCATCATGAGGGTGTTTTTTTCCCCCCTCCCTTCCCAATTTTGGTCTCGGTCTTTATATGGTAAGTCTGCACGTTACTTACTGGGCATCAGGTCGGTTCTGTGGTAGGGTAGACTTAATGATTTATGATGACCTTGGACATATGGAAACATTGCCATGCTCTTATTTTGAAGTTTGAATGTCGATTTATTTTTTCTTTTGCCATTCATATGATGATTTACTGAGAGCATGGAGTGTTCCTCGAAAGATGATTATGATAAAAGGATTATTACTATTAGCATGTCTGGGATATATTTTATAAGCAGGGGCCTGACTCAAGTCTCAAAGGATTACTACTACTTCTTTTTTAATTGTTTTTTCCCTGAAATTTTCTCATTCTCCACCCTCCACTGAAGGGGTGTTCGGATTATAACTAAAAAATGAAATTGAAATTAATTTTATATTAAAAATTAAATCGCTCATAAATTAATTTATTACACGAGATATATCGAGAAAAACAATGCTAGAAAATTAATCGATATTGATAAAAAACAAAAAATATACAAGCGCTGACTATATTAACATTGT